GAAGAAGCTGTCTAGACTTCCTCATAAGGACTCAACCTATCAGCCAAGCAAGGAACCCAGAGAGCACCTACAACCCAATGGCGCCTTCTGGTGTAGAAGGGCTCTCCAAATCCGGAGAAAGAGAAAGAAAAACTAGAATGCCGTGTCTCTAGTTTAATTAAGTCATATTAGGGGAGGTAGGTCAGTTTGGAGCAAGACACTTCAGCGTGGAATCTCCCACCAGCTTGTTTCTGGGAACCTGTCAGTAGACGTGGCTTGTCAATCAACACGATCGCGTTATCTGGTACCAAAGTCCTGGGACCAAGGTGGAGCGCGGTTAAGAATGAGGTGCCAGAAGGGCGAGCTAAGGAAAAACAGTCTTCAGAAAATGCTAGATCATGCGAGTCACACATTCAGGGTTATCTCGAATAACTCTTGTGTGTGTGTGTGTGTGCACGAGCATGTGTGTGTGTACATGTGCATATGTGTGTGCGTGCACGAGCATGTGTGTATATGTGTGTGTGCACGAGCATGTGTGTATGTGTGCATATGTGTGTGCACGAGCATGAGTGTGTATGTGTGCATATGTGTGCGTGTGTACATGTGCACGAGTGTGTATGTGTGCATATGTGTGCGTGTGTACATGTGCACGTGGGTAAGTGCAGAGGACAACCCCAGGTGTAGTTCCTGAGAAATGGTCTACCTCGTGTTTTAACTCTACTACTAAGCTGGACTAACTGGCCAGAGAGCTAGAATTCATCGGCTCGGGGCACACACCTCGTCTCTGCCCAGGTTCTGGATGGAACCCGTGTGGTACTTTACCGATTGGGTCATTTATCCACCTCTATTTTTTTTGTTTGTTTGTATTGTTTTGTTTTGTTTTCAAGACATGGTTTCTCTGTGTGGCCTTGGTTGTCCTGCAGCTCACTCTGTAGACCAGGCTGGCCTCGAACTCACAGAGATCCGCCTGCCTCTGCCTCCCGAGTGCTGGGATTAAAGGCGTGTGCTGCCACTGCCCGGCTGCATCATTAATTCTTAAGAGGGATGAGATGAAAGACATGAGAGGAAATAGACTCCCAGGCTGGAGGGAGGCTGATCTCTAAGTCCCCTGAATACACACAGCCGGCCTCACACTGCCATCCCAGCCGTTGTGCGTATCATGGTGGCAGCTTTCACACACCAACCCCCCAAGCTACCCACGGTACCCGCTCTCGACGTGGGCGACAACACTCCCTCTGGTGAGCTCTCTTCTGCTCTTGAATGCCCTGATGTGCCTAGATGCGGTCTAGAGCAAGAGGACAGCCTAGAAATAAGCCACCCCCGGGGCTCTCAAGCTGGGAACCAGCATACATGAATCTCTTCGTGCTGCTGCGATAAAACGCCAGGGTCACGGCAACTCAGGGAACAAAGAGTATATCTGGGCTCGTGTTCAGGAGGTTAAGGGTCCATCATGGCAGGGAGGCCTGGTATAGCAGGAGGTGAGGAATCACGTTTTCAACCACTAAGTACAAAACGGAAAGGACCGGAAGCAGGACAGAAAGCCCCACCCCCAAGACACACTCTGGCCGGCAAGGCCACACCTCCTAAGCTTCCCCTAACAGCACAGCCAACTAGGGACTGAGTGTTCAGACACCTGGGTCTATAGGGGACACCTCTCATTCCAAACCACACAGGCTACTTACTAACCCGGACAGCTTCCGGGGGCGTCAGAGAAGGCAGGACGTTATCTTCCTAAAGCACATCCCAGCGAAACACCTTCACAGGAACACAAGTCCTAGCCAGGCACAGGGGCTCTGGCCTGCAGTGCCGCAGCGGGGAGCCTGAGGCTGGGGTCCCACAACCGACTTGGAGCAACTTGGAGCAACATAAGGACAGTCTCAAAGAGTAAAGCAGGAGGAACCCTCACGGCCTGGTGGTGAATGCCATGGGGGGTGGGGGCAGAGGGGTTAGGGGTTTCCAGATTAACCTGGACTCCGTAGCAGACCCCTCACCACCACCCCCCCGAAAGATGAAAACTACATCCTGGACTTCGTCTTAGTGAGCATTAACTCATAAAGGCATCGGAGGCAGGGGCTAAGCCCCAGCTTCCGGAGCCCTGATGGGCAACAGGACTAAATTACAAGCATCAAGGTAACCCACCTTACGGGTCTGACACACGGAAGCTGCCAGACGTAAGCAGCCACCAGAGAAGTCACTGCAGCACGTTAGCCAGAGGGCTGGCTGCACGGGACTTCTTAGGAGGGTGAGGCCGAGGAGCTGGCAGGCTCAAAGCCTAGGCGAGAATTTCCTGAGATCCGCGGTCCAGCACCTCACCCTGTCCCACCTCAGGTGGGCTAGCAGCAGCTCCCTCACGAAGCAAGCTTCTGCCCGGGAGTTGTGCCAACAGCCGCTCAGAAAACACAAAGCCCGCCCGTCCGTCTGTCCGTCTGTCTGTCCCAGAGGCGGCTCAGCACCACCAAGTCTCGCCCACCTTCAGACAGACGTGCCGGCTCTCACGTACATCACGTACTTGGAGGGACCTTTTCAAGGCTGAGAGTAGCCCTTACTTGGGTACCCCTAAGAGGTCAAGCTGGATCAAGGAACATTGTTCAGAAAGAAAAGAAAAAAGGGGCGGAGCCAGAGCACTCCATTCATCAGGGCTTCCCCCACCCAGCAGACACAAGCCCCAGACCACAGAGGAGTCAAAGGCCCAGTCGGCCCTTGTGGCCCTTCCTGTGGAGACAGGTCCTCTAGCATCCCTGAAAAGCCGCATCCTTTGCCCCTCCCCCAAACCACAGAGGCCCGAGCAGATGGGGTCCATTTGCAACCGGGGGGGGGGCACAGCCCCAACGTGGAGAGGCTGGCCCCTGTAACATACTCTCAGTTTGTTGAGCTCCTAGGGCAGAGAGATAAAAGTACTTTAAAAGGCCAGGCTGTGGAGCCTGATGACCTGGGCTCCATCTGGGAAGCCCTCGATGAGGTGGGAAGAGCTGACCTCTGACCTCCATACAATTATCATACACGCAGTAATCAATGAAAATAAAACGCAGAAGGCCCGATCGGGTGTGCACGGCCTGCAGCGAGTTTAAGGGAGTGTCTCGCCCTTCAAGCCTTGCTCACCTGAACCCTGAAGGAGAGAGAGAGAGAAAGTACCTCCCCTGGTGCCCGCCTGCTCACCCACTCTCTTATCTGATGCTTGGGCTAACTGGACAATCAGGCCTTTATTAAAAACACCCAGAGGCCTGCTCTGTACCTGGGGAGTAGGAGGTGCAGGGCAGGGAGCCCAGGAGACTCACCGCCAGAACCATCTAGCAAGGCAGAGGACCACAGGTGTGAAAGACCAGGGCAGCCTCAGAATGGCAAGAGAGATGGATGCCGCCACTCAATAGCTCGCTGCGAGAGATCATTTGGAAACTGAAAGTCCGAATCACGTGCCACCCCGTCACCCTCAAAGCCCGTTGACAGTATCTGACCCACACCTTAAACCTATAAAAGTTATAACTGCCATAATATCTCTTAATTATTCGCATTAGGACTTCTAAAAAGTCACCAAGCTACAGGGACAGCCAGAGCTGAGACCCCCCCTCCCTACAATGGCGAGTCGTCACAACGGCAAGAAGTGACAGTCATTCTGTTCCTCCCACTGGTCCAGCTGAGTTTGGGGGACAGCCAGGTAGGAAAGGTTATGGGGCAAGGTCACACAGACTGCAAGGGGGAAGAAAGGCTTTGAATGTCGGCTTCCCTACTCTAAGGCCAGAGGCCAGTGTCCTTACCTCACCAGGGTGAGACACCGTCCAAAGGGTCCAAAGGGAGAGCTGGGCTCTGCGCAGGAAACCGGACCCCAACGGTCCCTGGGGCATCAAACAGGAAATGGGCCTGGTGCCTTGCCAAGTGTCCAACAGCAACCCAGCCCGTGGCAATCCTACTGTGCCTTGACTCGTCTCTTCTAACTCACTTCAGGGTCCCCCTGGGCCAGCTCTGATCCTCGGCTACTTCTCCCCGCTTGCCTGGGCTCCTCTGTGAGCAACTGGGGGTCAGAGATCAGAGGCTACAGTCTTTAGAGTGTGACCAAAGGGGAAGGCAGCTGTCTGTCACCCAGGTCCACCTCCACCTGTCATCTCCACCCCAACGGGAAGACTGCCCCACTGCACCTGCGCATGCACGCGGACAGACGGACGGACGGACACACACACACACACACACACACACACACACACACACACACACACACGCCCTCAGGCTGGCTGGAGGCTGGTTAGAGTTCAAGCGGCCCCCTCCTTTTTGGCTGTTCTGGTCGTTCGGAAAATGGAAAAGACCCTGTAACTAGCCGGTTTCCTTATGGATTCCTCCCACCTCCCCTAGACCAGAAAGACCACGGTAGGAAAGAGCACGGGTTCTGGCGACACGCCGCCGCAGACAGCACTGTCAACGCTCACACACCGTTTCAAAGTTTGGCGAAACAAATCAGGAAACAAAAAACCCCCAGAGGCCCCGGCGCTCCTTCTTCCTGCTCAAAGTGGGCTGTAAAGTCTCGGTCAGACCAGCGCGGCATCTGGTTCCAAGACTAGGAATTGGGGAGGGGCACCTAGAACCCAGCACCCAGACAGGGAACTTTTAAAACAGCCCCTTAATAATAATAATGAGACAATTCACGACATTTGCTTTTTACCCGCAGGGGGCTGACCTTGGAGGCGACAGAGACAGAGAAACTGTAAAACTAGAGTCAAAAGAAGTGACCCAAAGTGAGCTCCTCCACTCTCAGGATGGAAAGAGGGGTCCCCGGGCGCGCGTTGTCGTCTGCACCAAGTTCAGGCGGCGAGTGGAAACGTGCGCGCAGCGCGCGCTCCGGCCCGCGGCTCTCTGAAGGTCGCCCGACTGTCACCTAGGCTGCCGGGGCCCGGAATCCGAGTGCGCGCGGCGCGGCGGGGCACGGAGACCTCCGGGCACCTTCCCGGGTGTCCCCGACCCTGCAGGTGCCACAGGGGAGCGCGGTCGGGCCGTGGCCCCTCCCAAGCCTCAGGCCGGGAGCACCGGCGACTTACCCGCAGGAGGCGCGGGGGCGGCGGGCGCGGTCCCGGGGCCGGTGTCGCTGCTCCGCGTCGTGCTTGGCCCGGCCCCGGCCGCCGGTGGCTCGCGTCCTCGGGGCGGCGGGGGTTCGTTGTGGGCGCGTGCCCGGGCGATCGGGGACGCTCCCGGGGCTCCTCTCGAGCGCGCGCGTCACGGGCCGGGGGCGCGCGGGGGCGGGGGCCTAGTGGGCCCCGGAGCGGCGGGCGGGGGCGCGGCCGGGGACTGGGCCGGGGCCGGGGACCGTGTCGCGGGCGCCGCGGCGCGGCCTCTCGCCATGGCTCCGCGCGGCCGGGCCTTCGCGCCTCCCCCTCGCGCTGCCGTCACCGCCCGACGCGCGCCCAGCCCTCCCCGCTCGGCCCCGCCTCCGCCCCGCCCCGCCCGGTCCGACCGCCACCTGCGCGACGGTCCCTGCTAGCGATGCTCCTCGTCCCCCGCCGAGAGAGGCACCGGGAACCCCCGAAGCGCTGGCACACACACACACACTCGGCGTCCCGGAGCGTGCGTCCCGACCCGCGTGCGAGGACTGCTTGGGGACCCCATCGCCAGCCCTGCGGTCCTGGGGAACCCGCCCCGGAGTCGAGCACAGAGTTAAGAAAGCAGAAGGGGGCCTTGGACCGGCCGCGTGGGCAACACCACCAAGGGGTGCAGGAGCCCGTGGGGGTGACAGAGGGGACAATGAAGCCCTCCGGGGAGCTTTCATGCAAATAACTCGCAGACGTTTTAACGCGGCCCAGCCCACGCGAGCTGGTTTCCAGTGGTCCCTTGCAACCGGTCACAGGGGACACTGACTTGGAGCGGACTCCAACCTGAACCTAAGGTGCGGAGGAAATAAACCCCTCCGGACCTCCAAGTTTCAAGGCTAGATAGGAAATGAATGGGAAAATTGTTCCGGCAAAATCTTGACCGCTGGGAATGTGTGTGTGCGCGAGCGCAGGGGCATTTGTCACTAGATATTTGCTTGAGCTAGCCCATTTCTCCACAGACTCTCAGCAACAGCAGTGTGTGTGCAGCGACACCTTGACCACCTGTGAGCTAAGTGGACATCGTCCTCAGGACCCTCGTCTATGCGGCAGTCCCAGGACAGTGACGCCCCAGCAAACCCCTTTCTGTGGAAGGGGGGTGAGCTGTGTCCTGAAATCACAATGCCATAAAAAACAAAGAAAAAAAAAACCTAGATATTTGAGATCTGTCTGAAACAGGAGGTCTGTGGCTACATGATACGCCTCTATAGCGTTGGGTGATGGCACAGAACATTCTGGATGACAAAAGGTGGAATCTGTAGATCTTAAGCTATGGCGCCAATGTTAAATTTGCTATGTGCACAGACAAGACTGTCTTTATTTGGTTTTGTTTATTTTTATTTCATGTGCATTGGTGTTTTTGCTGGGGATTGAACCTGGTCTCCTGGAGGAGCAGCCAGTGCTCTTGACTCCTGACCCATCTCTCCAGGCCCCTTCTTGAGACTTGTGTACATGTAAACAATGAAATACAGGGTCAGTTATATCGTCCCCATTCCCATCTCCCAACGCCCTCCGTGGCCACCTCAACGCATCCCCCTCGCAACTTACTGTCTTGATTTCTTTCAATAACCCCGTAAATCTGCCGCCCACACATACAAGGCGAGCGACATCCGCAGAAGCATGAAACTCAAGAAAGGACACGGCTGCATCCTCAGAAGAAGAACGATTTGTCTCCCCCCCCACCCGCACCCCCCTCGGAAGCGGCCAGGAGCTCCTCCGCGGGGATGGGGGTCTGGGTCCGCTTCTGTCCAGTTCCGTCTTGCTCGGGCACCGTAGCTGCTGTGAACTCGTGTGTGTGACAGCCAAGCCGTGTCCAGAGGACAGCAGTCCACGGTCCTCCTCCTCATCCTCTGGTTCTTACGTTCTTCCTGCTTCCTCTTCCCGGGTGTCCCTCAGCCTTGGGGATGGGGTGGTATCCACCTTCATCTTTGAGACAGGGTCCCTCGCTCAACTTGGGGCTCGCTGATGAGGCTCCACAGGCCAGCAAGCCTCCGGAATCTGCCTGTCTCTGCCCTTCCCCGCCCCTAGGACTGTTGTGACTGTCACAGGCAGCCATGCCTGACTTTCTGTGTGAGTGCCAGGGTGTCTGAGCTGGGGGTTTTGTTTACATAGCACTTGGCCACTGAGAGTCATCTCCCCAGCCCAGTTTTGGGTTCCAGGGTGGTTGGTTGGTTTGTTTTGGTTTTGTTGTTGTTGTTGTTGTTTGTTTTATGGGATTTTTTGTTTGTTTGTTTGTTTGTTTGAGACAGGGTTTCTCTGTATTGTTTTGGAGGCTGTCCTGGAACTCACTCTGTAGACCAGGCTGGCCTCAGACTCACAGAGATCCACCTGCCTCTGCCTCCTTAGTGCTGGGATTAAAGGCGTGCGCCACCAACGCCCTGGCGGTTGGTTTGGTTTTTGTTTGTTTTGAGACCATCCCAAATAGCCCAAGCTGGCCTTGAACTCACAACGGAGCTGAAGCTGGCCTTGAAGTGACTGTGCTGGAATTACAGATGTACACCACTATGGTAGGTGGTAAAGCATTATTTTTTATGATAGAACTAAATGTGTAATTACCTCAATAAAAATTTCAATCACACACACAAAATCATCAGACAAGGGACGTGATGGGCAGGGTCTGGGAACAATCAGTCCCAAAGGGAAGTTTTCAGTAGGAAAGGCACTGTGTCCTGCAGTGAGGGTCTTGAGGGGGTACAGTCAGATTCTCTGAAGAGACGCCAACAGACCCAGTGCCTCCCAGTTCTGGAACTGAAGAACCGAGATCTAGCTGGGCATGGGTGGCGCACGCCTTTAATCCCAGCACTCGGGAGGCAGAGGCAGGAGGATCTCTGTGAGTTTGAGGCCAGCCTAGTCTACACAGTGAGTTCCAGGACAGCCTCCAAAACAATACAGAGAAACCCTGTCTCGAAAAACCAAAAAAAAAAAAAAAAAAAAAAGGAACCGAGATCTGGCCCAGCCCACCTCCATTCCCTTGGGACGTGGCTACCATTTGAGGTGCAGACCCAGGGTACCCCGAGCTTTTGTCTCTGCCCTCCTCAACTATTCCTGGCTCCTCACTAATTGTTACAGGAACACCACAGCTACAGCACTTGACGGCGATCCAGAGCCCTGCCTTGGTTAGCACCCATGAGAGAGGCTGTTTCTTACAGGAGATGGGAACTATCAGAGGGACCACAGGCCATGAGTGGACAGTGTGCAGAGAGTGAGAGGCCTTGGAGAACTCAGTTATGAATGGGAAGCCTGCATCAAACCCCTCCCCTCAAGCCTGGGAGAGCTGTGTAAAGGAAGAGGTGGAGCCGGGCTTTGGTGGTGCACGCCTTTAATCCCAGCACTCGGGAGGCAGAGGCAGGCGGATCTCTGTGAGTTCTAGGCCAGCCTGGTCTACAGAGTGAGTTCCAAGATAACCACAAATACACAGAGAAACCCTGTCTGGGGGGACGAGGGAGGAAGGGAGAGAGTTGAGGGGGAATATGACCAAAATACATTAAAAATTTTAAATAAAAAACCCCGTAGGACTGGATGGGGACCTTTGTACCCTGCTGCAGACCTGCCTCCCGCCAACGGCTAGGTGTGGATTAGGACAGCGGTGACCGTACTAGAAACACAAGGCATCTTTGTGATTTTTTTTCAGTTTAATTTTTTTTTGTAAGATGACTGTGCTACAGCACAAACCCTGTAGATGACAACATCATGTCACAATGTCACCAGTCTGGACACCTCTCATTTGCAGGAAACCTCGGGCAGAAAAGTAGCGCAGAACCACAGAAGCATCCAATTAGTGGTCAGCCCTTAACTGCAGCTGCCCTGTACTGTTGGATTCTCACGAGCCGTCTGAGACCCGATCTCTACAGCCATGAGACGCCAAGCTGGGCAGAAACTGTGAGGTTGCCCACTGCATCCCAGTCCTTGGCGTCTGTGGCCTTGCTCTACGGACAGGGCCCTGATGCTTGGCTCTTGGTGCCAGAGTGCAGACACGTGGGTCCTGCCCCTGATGAGAAGGAGTTGGCTTCCTTTTCCCACCGTGGAGGGAGCAGGTGACAGGCAGAGCCCCTCAGCAAGCCATTGCCCCGCTGGCACGAGCCAAGGGCACAGGGTCGGGGAGAAATGGTAAACGCCCTGGAAGGTCTCATCTTTACTGAACACCAGGCAGAGGTCTCTGGCAGCCATGGGGCCGAGAGAACTCCCGTACACTTCCTTTTTGTGGAATCCAGTGAAAACCAACCCATTTGGGTTAGTTGTGGCCTGGTGGTGCACACCGTTAATCCCAGCACTACAGAGGCAGACGAAGAGGAGAGGCAGAGGCAGAGGCAGATATCTGTGAGTTCCAGGCTAGCCTGGTCTACAAAGCCAGTTCTAGGCTCCAAAGCTACAGAGAAACCCTGTCTCCAAAAGCCAGGAAAAAAAATCCCATTACTCGGGAGACAGAGGCAAGAGATCTTCGTGAGTTGGAGACCGTCTTGCTCTACATAGTTCCAGGACTCTCGTTAATGTTCCAGAGGCTGCTTCTCATTGGCTGATATATTCCTGAGTCCCAGAGAAATGGAAGGCCATTCTTCTTGGGTCACCGCTTCCTCTGCTGAAAGTGATGAACTTCAAAACCCCAGGAGGAAGACTTTCTCCTTGCTGCTGCTGAGCCCACAGGCGCTGGGGATTTTGTTTTCTTTCTGCATTCATTCTTTCTACATTCCTCGCAGTTCAGAGACAGCTGGCCCTGCCTCTCCTCGCCTCCCTCCGGTGACGTAATCACTCCAGGCCAGCCAGGGCTACATAGTAAGACCCTGTTTCAAAAGAAGCAAACACATTTGTTGGTATTTTCCAGGTTCTAAGGTGGTAGCTCTGGGGACAGACAGAAAGAGTATCTGCTCTATGCTGGTCGGAAGCCTGCAGTGCAGCCTAGGAACCAAGGTCAAAATGCAGACAACGACTCAATGGTGTCTTCAGTGCGTTAGCCTGGGCCCCACAAGCAGCACAGGAGAAGGACTAACACAGGAGGTTTCCTCAGGAACGTGAACCCAGAGGAGGGGAGGGAGAGGGATAGAAAGAATGAGACAGGGATGCCATGCAGCGGCCACCCAGGGCACTGGGGCTCTGCTCTGCTAACACCTTGGGGAAGATGCAGGAGGGAAACATGGAGGGAAACATGGAGGGAAGATGCAGGAGGGAAACATGGAGTCTTTAATCCCTCAGCTCTCAGGATGCAAAGGGTTGCCTGGAGAAATAAGTAAACAAGATGAGATAAGGGGCAGAAGAAAACAAACA